TTGTTCCCAGATTAATCACATCCATTTCAAGGCACCCTTGCCCCACCATTTCAAGGTCCTTGCCCTCTGCCACCTCCTCCAGCCCTACCACAAACTAATCTTTCTGTGCTTTTCAAAGTGACAAATCTCTCCAATCAGGGGCAGCAAGGAGAAGTGCTCTGCTGCTACAATCCCAGCAATCCAATTTTCCTCAGCAAATACCTACCAGCATTACATGGAAGATGTATTGCATACCTGTATGACAAACACTACAGGGCAAAGGCCGCTGCCTAGTTCTCTGCAGAGACCCCAAACCACTAACCAAGGGATCACACAAGCTCAGCTGCCACCTCAAGAGGGAGAAAACCTTGGACTTCTTGGTACACTAATACTGTCACAAACTTGTGATGCAAAGCACAAACAGAAGCCACTCTCTGATTAAGAGATGAATTCCAGAAAGACCTACTGGCACAGAAAGCAAAACTGTTTTCGAGAGCAGTATCACCATTGCCAGAACTCTCCTCTGCACATGTACAGCAACCATCTTCCAGCCTGCTAGAAATCAGCTTCTTCATGGAGATCTCACCCCACAACTAAACACATCTGCCACTTCTATGCTAGTAAAGTGGTAAATGACATGTAAAAGAATATATTAGGTTCTAAACCTGGTGCCCAAGCTCACCTGCCTGTCCTGCCCACCTGCTGCAGGCACATCAGCTCTATAAACAAACACATTTGTTCCAAGCCAAGCTTAAGGCCTGGGTCTTTAGTTACTTAGACAGAGCTTAAACTGACTGTTGAACTACAAACCAGCAAGAGAGTTGCACTCCCTTAGAAAAACGCAAATCGTGAAGTCCAAGGCAAAACATGCAAAAGCAGAAGGGACAGACCTGAGAAACCATCTTGTACCCCATCTGTTCAGGATCTTGAAAAGGATATCCTAATTTAAGCATTGCTTTGAGGTTTTGTTAACTGTCACTAACAGATCAGACACAGTCCTTTAAATTCTACCTCAGAATTCGTACCTCACAGGGAGAGCTGCCTCCAAAAACCAGTGTTGCTGTTGGGTTTGTATGTGTGTCTAATGATGAGCCTCAGCCACAAAAGCTCAGCTGCAGCAGAAGCTACGTCAAGACAAACACAAGCATTCAGGTAAGGACCTGGATCTGCAGTGGGTGGGTCTCAATTCAGGGTTGAAGACCCCCACAGCAGCAGAGCACACTGCTGGGCTCCGTCCCACAGTCTCAACCTGGTGTTAGATGCCAGCACAGGAAATCTGTGGGCAGGCCCACAAAAACAAGCAGTGGAAAGAGCCACAAGATCACCATCACCAACAGAGCTGGATCAACACCATGACAGCCCTGATTTAGGCCACAGGCTCCTGTTGTCTTGAATCCCACAAAGTTTGCCATCATTACATCTCTGTTGGAGATAAAGGAGGTGTCTGGGATCCTGGAGCATCCCT